GAAAGCACTGTATCGAACGGTTCAATATCGATACGAGTATCGTTGCACCCCTACTATTTATTTATACAACAGATCAAACTGTATATGTCATGAAAATGTTTCTCTCTTTTCAGAAACTACTTGTTGTCCAGTTCAGAAGATGGTACAGTGAGGTTATGGAGTCTCCTAACGTTTACCTGTTTGGTGGCCTACAAAGGGCACAACTACCCAGTGTGGGACACGCAGTTTTCCCCCTATGGCTACTATTTTGTGTCTGGAGGACATGACAGGGTAGCCCGGTAAGAAACTTCAGACCTTGTTTTGTAATTGTTTGATAGCATATTGGAACATCATGTTGTTGTTGATCCACATTGGCTCCTTCTACAGGTGCTTTTCATTGGGCCACCTTCTGCTCTTTTTTTTTTTTCTTAACAGACTCTGGGCGACAGATCACTACCAGCCTCTGCGGATATTTTCTGGTCACCTGGCTGACATCACTTGCACTCGTTTTCACCCAAACTCCAATTATGTTGCCACAGGATCATCTGACCGTACCATCCGTGTGTGGGATGTCCTAAGTGGAAACTGTGTGCGCATCTTCACTGGTCATAAGGTTAGAGTTCAACAGACATCATTTAGAAAATGTCATTTTAGTCACATTATATTGAAATGTGCATAATTGTTCATGTAATGATGTATAGTGCAGCACAGCTAGAAATAGTAAATGCTGTTTAAACATCTGTGAATCTAATATTTTAATGTCATCTTCCAGGGTCCCATCCATTCACTCGCTTTTTCCCCCAATGGGAAGTTTTTGGCATCAGGGGCCACTGATGGCAGAGTCCTCCTGTGGGACATTGGCCATGGATTGATGGTGGGAGAGCTCAAGGGCCACACAGATACCATCTATTCCCTCAGGTTCAGCAGGGATGGTGAAATCCTTGCTTCCGGTGAGTGTTGCAAGTTTCTTTATACTTTTCCATCAAGCGATTAACCTCAAACAAAAATGATATGACATGGTCACGGCTCAAAAATGCACTATAGCCAGAGTGACAAAGTAATGTTTTCCAGGTTCTATGGACAACACGGTTCGCCTGTGGGATGCAATGAAAGCATTCGATGACTTGGAAACAGATGACTTCACGGCAGCTACAGGACACATCCATTTACAAGATAACTCCCAGGAGCTTCTGCTAGGCACCTACACGACTAAATCAACACCTGTTATACACCTTCACTTCACCCGGAGGAACCTGCTTCTGGCTGCTGGAGCCTTCAATCCTTGAGACTATTTCCCTCTGAGAATATAATCAATGGAAGCTAGAAATTATGCAAAACTCTGACTGCCAGAAGTAACTGAGGAAGGTTATGGCACAGTGAAAATAACTATTTATCAGTTTACATTTGGCTAGCATAACAAATTAGGTTAGCCAACTATGAGAGCCAAACAGAGGACTGTATGTTTAAGTCATTGTGTTGAGTACAGCCTTACTGAATACATGGCTGACATTTCTGTATTATAGTCTTTTATACTGGTGCACACTGTAAATAAAGAAAAGTGTTTTCTATGTTTTGGGCATAGATGTTTTTATTGTTAACATTGGAAAACCAAACACTCAAATTTCATTACAAGCATGTCCAGCTGCTCTTTCCATTCCAAGCTGTTTGAAATGATGGGCAAATGGAAGCCTGTAAGGACAAAAGAGTCAATCAATTCAACTGAATAACTACAACATGGTGCCAAAGAACACTTTCACATGTGGCAGAGTAAACGACCTGCTTTGCCATGCAAGCCACAGTTGCTTCCCCAATACTTTTCAAAACGAGCAAGATATGAGTTTCTATTCGTTAGCAATTTATCGTTTTTATGCACAGCAAAAAACATTGTTTGCATACCACAGACAAAATACACATTTAGTGCAAACATGCAAGTGTAGTAATAGATAAGCAGAATAAGCATGGGTGATAAATATGGATCATAACTCTTTCAGCTGCTCCCTTCAGGAGTCACCACAGTGGATTATCAGCCTCCATCTCTCCTCACCCTAGCATCCTCTGTCACACCAACCCCCTGCATATCCTCCTTCACTACAGCTCCATATTACCATATAAATATGGGTCATAAATTCTACCATTAAGAGCAGAATAAAATTCTGTGTAATAAAACATAATTAAAGCTAACAATCAGAATTTCATCAATGTTTTGGTTTAGCAGGGAGTAGTGAAGAGTTACTATTGCAGTTTGAAAATCAGATATATTTAAAAGAAATAAATCACCTAATGACAACAGTAACGTTCTGCTAAAATTTGACTTGACCATAGTACTTGGAAAGCTGGTGGCTGGTTGCTTGTCTACAGACTGTAAACACTGAAAAGCAGAAAGACTAACATACTTACATAATCACTTTTCTGTGACAGCAGGCTTTTTCTTAGGCTTCAATTTGAAGAAAAGGGCGATGGCTGCAAGGGTAGCATATGTGGCCAAAACACACTAAAAAAAAAAAGGGGGGGGGGGGGGATATAAATGCTGTGAGCAATGCAGTATGACAAAGTATGACAGCAGCAGGGACGTAGAGCTTCTTGCTTTTAAACAACTATACAATTAAGCAGTTTATATACACAACTCACATTCCTCCTTCCTGTGATTGTGTATGAATTGAAGTACTTGGCAATTCCAGTGAACTGGTGCTGGGTTCCAGCGTCATGTCCTGCCATGATGGATATCAGATGGTCCTACACAAGAAAAATGGCAAGTAAATAATTAGTATACTATATGATAAGCAGATATATTGACTGTACAGAAAAATAACGTCTTCCAGATGCTCCCTTTAGGGGTTGCCACTGTGCATCACCTGCCTCCGTCTCACCCTATCCCTAACATCCTCGACTGTCACACCAAACCTCTGCATAGCCTCCTTCGCTACATTTGTGAATCTTCTCTGTGATCTTCCTCTTATCCTCCTGTCTGGCAGCTCCAGCATCTTATTCTCAATTTAACCACCCTCTTCTCTACACTCAAACCATCCTATCCTCCCCTCTTGAACTTTGTATTCAAAGCGTTCAACCTGAGCTGTCCCTCAGATATATAATAATTTCTAATTCTGTCCATCCTGGTTACGCCCAATGGAAATTTTAACATCTTTAACACTCCCACTTCCAGGTTGCCCACCTGTCTTTCTGTTAACGCAACCATCTCACTACCATCGTCTAAAACTCCATTTTCACTCTTGCTGAAAGAACAAGTTCTCCCAAATGATTATTACACTTTGTAAGTAAATCATGTCTCTATTTAATGGTAGTGATTTGGTTGGGAGCTATTGATCAGAGAAGGCATGACACGACATATTATCATTTTCTGTAAATGTAGAGAGAGGTGAATTCAGAAATCATCAAGGTCCTAACAGAGACTATAGCTAAAATAAATTAATTCCTAGTACTGGGTAGACTTTATGGGTGTTATTTGAGAAGGGGGAGCTCGAGCACGTTTGCAACTACTACTCTGATGCACAACAAAAAACCTATCGGTAAATTAGCTACTTAAAATTAGTACCAGCATAGTTACATAAGAGAAGTTACAGCCTTTATAGTTGCAAGCCCAACATGGTACGTCATTAAAATATGACCGACGTGAAGGACATGTCTTCGCATGAACACCTAAAATGCCAGGTTTTGCTTCTGGTTAAACAACGCTGCAATTCAAATGCATTAATACGACATTTTAGCGAGTAATGCACACTCTGTAGTCAGTTAACGTTAGCTTGCTAGGTTAGCTTGCTAGGTAGTTTATTAGTTTCAGATCCATGGCTTAAGCAGTACAACATCACAGATGCATTGTAAAGACAACTTGACTCTACTTATAACTGCTCAAAGCAAAGTAAGTGGTCCAACTTCTTTCTCAAGGTCTTGAGGCTTACCTTAAACACTCGAGCACAGTACAACCAGAATGAGACAGATGACCTTCAGCAGAGGCCGCAATGCTAAACTCGCTAGGAAGTCCCGCCCATGGTCAGCGATCTAGAACTGCGCCATTATTTGTTAAAAATACTGTCACTCAAATTTAAGGCCGAGAGCGTTCACTGAATGGCTAATGTCGGTGCCAATTATTCGTTCTTCGCGGTCATTGGACAAAATTTGAAACGCCCACCGGAGTTTTTCTTCCGGGCTAAGGTCATGGCGTGTTGCTGAACAGCATGTGAGTTTGGATAGCCACAAACCGGAGATTTAATGTAAGAAACCTTTCATGATTCTGATCGTATATTTAAATGTACGTTTACAGCAATACATCATATATTTAAATCTTCAGTCCAGTGGAGGTTTTTGCTAGTGTTTATTCGTTTTATACCTGGTATTATTTAGCTCGTAATGTCGTGCATTTGGAGTGATTAGATCGACGAATACAGATGGACTTTTATCACTAAATAAAATAATCTGGCTCTCGCAGTCTCAGTGATTTGAAACTTGTGCACATGTGAACTAATAACAATTAGATGTCTTTTATAATGGCGACATTATTTTTCTTAGACGTCTTAAAGAACTTCATAGATGGCATCGGCGGAGGAGGACTTCCCTCGAGGAGGGACAGCAAAGAAGTCTACTGGGAGTAAAACAGTGGTTCATCGAACAGAAGCGGACAATTTGTTTCAGGTAGATTTTAACTTCCATCTGTTTTTGTCTGTCTTACTGAGTGTAAAAAGAATTGATCTGGGTTCAGAGTGCAGACAAAAGTGATCAAAATTAATAACCACAGGTATGTTTTTCACAAGAAATCCTTTTTAGTTATTCAGTTTCAACTCGGAGTTCCTTTTTTGTAATGTGACAATAGCATGTACAAATGAAAATTAAATTGGAATTTATCTTTTGTTGACCCGAATGTGTTGCTGCCTACATCTTGTGGAGAGGCATTGCCAGATGTACAGTGAAGCCATCCATATCACTAACCCAGCCCTTCTGCTACTCTGCATCTGGAATCACTTCTGCACAGAAGTACTTCTCAACTCAAAGTTGGCTCTGTTTTGGCTCAGAAACTCTGTGGCTTCCACTGCAAATCAAATTATAAATGAAAACAGACATCAGTGAGGCAGAATTGATTGTTACTGCCCCTGATGCATCTAGCACAGGACAGCTCGGGTGTGGCAAAGAGATCTGCTCTTTGCCACACCCGAGCTCCTTAGCTATGAGGTTAGGCCAATATTGTTTAAAAAAAAAAAATCCCTTGATGTCACCTGGTCTTAAATAGGCTATTGTATACTACAACACTAGAGTGTATTATTAAAACATATTTCACATTTGGCAATAATTTGCTTTTCTCTTGCAGTCTAATGAGCAAGCTGAAACCAAGAAAAGAAAGGCAGGAGCCAAAGATGACAGCAAAAAGCTCAAGAAGCAAAAGGCAGAAGAAAAGAAAGTTGGCCTGACACTTAACGCTCCAGTCAAATGTGTGGAAATTCTGCATGTTAAGGTAATCAATCTCCCAATAACCTCTACAGTACATATACAGTATTTGAATGGGTTTTTTACGTGTCATTTCTTCTGTGTTTTCTGCATCTAAAAGAAATAACACTCTTAAGCAATTTTTTAAGCTCTTGCAGGATGCTCGTCTCAGTAACGGCTTGTGTGTGTTTTTTCCCAGGATGTGAAGGAGGGCATGCTGATGCTAGGCTGTGTGAAAGAGGTGACAGACTTTGAGGTGACCGTCAGCCTGCCTAGTGGCCTGCAAGGCTTTCTCAGCATCAAGAACATCTGCGATTCATACACCAAGCTGCTGAGTGAGCAGCTGGACTCAGCTGACACAGAGGTTGGCCTATATAGTAATGAACAGAATGTTGTAGTAGATTTGAATTGTCTTGGTGTTGAGGACATTTCTGCTTGTGAGTGTGCAACAGTGTAATTCAGTCCAGATTTCCTTTGTAGGAAATCTGCTCTTTGCCACACCTTTTCTACCCCGGCATGGTGCTCAGGTGTGTGGTTGCCAAGTTGGATGTAACGAAGAGAGGCTCGCTTAGCATCCAGCTGTCAATCAATCCAAAACTGGTCAACAAAAATCTGACCCCGAGTGGACTGAAAACTGGCATGGTGAGCCGTTAGTGAGAGTAACTGTTTAAAAACATCCATCAAACCTGCATTTACAGAAATTGTTGTATCTTTTGTGTAGGTCTTGAGTGCGTGTGTGGAGAGCGTGGAGGATTACGGCTACATCATTGACATTGGTGTCAGTGGAACCAAGGCCTTTCTGTCTAAGGAATCCCTGAAATTCAAACACAACAATGCTCAAGGTATGGGAAAATAACTTGTTGCTCATTTTGGGAAACAGTTGTTTTGTTTTTCATGCATGATTTGGTTGTGTTTCATCAGGACATTGCAGATGTTTTCAGTTTTTATAAAACAAATGTAATCAGTTGTTTTTTTTAAAAAGGATCTCTCAAGCATTTGTGGTTTCTCCACATGTACAGAGCTGAAAGTGGGTCAGTATTTGACTTCCCAAGTAGAAGAGGTGAAGAATGATGGTCGCGTGGTCCAGCTTTCTGCTAACCTGACTACGATTGCTCAGACTTGTGCTGAACCCAAGCAGGGCTGGAACCTCACAACACTTCTTCCTGGCCTTCTGGTCAAAGCTACCGTCAAGGAGGTAAAGACGGTGTTTTTATCTTATCCGCTATATGTGTCCTGCTACTAAAACAACATGAAACAATCACCAGTGAAATATAACCTCTGAACTGCATGTAAAAGCCAGTATGTTTGTATTGCAGGTGACCAAACACGGCCTGATCCTGGACTTCCTGTCCTCGTTTAATGGCCAGGTGGATTTTCTCCACATGGAGCCAGAACAGGCTTCCAGCTACACTAAGGGACTTCAGGTAAAGTAGACCTGGCATGTTTAACACAGCGCCTATGATAAATGGGTGTTTAGAAATTTTGATGCCATGTGATAATTTGAGAGTACAAACCTCCTTTTGCATCCATCCATTCAGGTGAATGCGCGCGTGCTGTACATCGAGCCACAGACTCGTCTGGTGGGAATGAGCCTGCGCAGCCACCTTATTCATCTTGAGACTGGGATTGAGCCCGTTCCTGCAGGTAGGGAACGGATTGGAGAGGTGGTGAAGGAGTGCAAGATGACCGCTATGCACCACCTGTCTGGAGGAGTGTTGGAACTTCCGGACAAAACGTTGGCCTTTGTACATGTAAGTCAGCGTGATGCTTTGGACAAACTTTAACTTTTATAAATCTTGTATTTATATATTTTTTTCTTCATAAGATGAGATTGAGATCATTTTATTGTCTGTATTGACAGCGGAACCACCTGAAGGAGTCTAATGAGCAAACTAATGAAAACAGAGTGTTTGCCCAGCCTGAGCACATCTGCAGGATCCTGGACTTCAGCCCCATGGAGCAAATTCATTTTGCTACTTTACGCAGGTATGTTACACTTCATTTGAGTGTCCACAGTAAATGTAGGCTTCACTGTTCTGATCTTTGCATGCCTCTCTTCTTTTGATTTTAGGAGTGTGATTGGGAAGCCTTTTTACAGATACCATGATGTTCAAGCCGGTCAGGTTGTGGAGGTAGGAACAGAGAATCATCTTTTGTTGGAAACTTGGCTTACATGTAACTTTTGATTATGAAAGTTTGAGTCAATGAAGTCTTTCAATGCATTAAGAGGATAACATCGACTTTATTAGGCAAAAAGCAAACTCATGGTCTGTTATTTATTGGGACAAATTTTAGTTTGTTTTTGGAGAAAACTTAAATTAACACTCACTCAAATGAACTCATTAAGTAAGGTATTAAGTCTTACACAATAAGTTTGTTTCTATACAGAAGCAAATGGTACAAATATCACTTGTTTCTATTTCTTGACCACACCTGTGGTGTTGCTGTGAGGTTACTTTGGAACTTGTCTTTGCAAGAAAGCAACTAAGAGTATTTCCCAAAATATCCCTTTTAAAAAAATCCGTCTACTCAGTTTAATTTTTTATTGCGTCAAACCAGAAATGGAAACTCTCCTTGGCAGACATGTTAAAAATATCTTTGACTTAGGAACTCCAGTTTAATAATTTAAAATAGTGATGGTGAATGGAGAGATGACGCACATTAGTTAGAATTGCTGTAAATGAGCCTGAAACGGAAGGTTTAAACTGTGCACAGTTAAATCCTCACCTCTCTTTATTGTTCCCTGTTGTCTGTGTTACATTCTTTTCTCTCAATGTTTCTCTTTCTCCAAGGGGACAGTGTCAGTCCTGCTGAGTCATGGGATGGTGGTGCATCTGTCTGACCACATTAAAGGTTTGGTGCCTCGAACCCATCTGTCTGACATTGTCCTGCAGAATCCGGAGAAAAAGTACATGGAGGGCATGAAGGTCAAATGTCGGGTAAGTGCACTTCTGCCCTAACAAACAACTATAAAACTTCTGATGTGAAGTTTCAGCTGTGAGCGCTGATTTGCTGTTTATTGTTCCACTGAATATTTGTGTCTGCACACTTTGTCTTCAGGTGCTGTCAGTAGAGGCAGAGAATAAGAAGCTGTACCTGACCAGAAAAAAGACTCTGGTTGAAAGCTCCTTGCCGTTGTTCCTGAGCTATAATGACACTCGTCCTGGTCGCGTGTCCCACGGCTATATCGTGAGCGTAAAAGACTTTGGCTGCATTGTCCGTTTTTACAATGGGGTTAAGGGTCTGGTGCCGCTCAGTGAGCTGAGCTCTGAGCCCATCGTTCGTCCCGAGGACATCTTCTACGTTGGGCAGGTAAGGTGATCGAATGTCATGTACACTGAGATTCCTGTATGGTCTTGATTTGTGTTGTTTCTGTGATGTATCTCACAAGTTTGCTGGTCTCGATTGATAATCCAGGTGGTAAAGGCTAAAGTTCTTCAGTGTGATCCTGAAAAGGGAAAGATGGTGCTTTCATTTAAGGCAGTGGTCAAAAAAGAAAATGAGGAGACTGAAAAACCTGAGTTTGACTGTGAAGTGGGGAAGGTAAGAAGTCGTCTCTGTGGCGTGTTCAATTGAAAATATAATCTTTTGTCTTATTTTTATTAATTTGTCTTATTTATTGTAGAGGCTGGATGCAAAGGTGCTGAAAAAGTCACTCAACGGTTTGGAAGTGGCCATCCTCCCGGATGAGATCCATGCTGTACTGCCTATGAGCCACCTGTCTGATCACATGTCCAACTGCCCTCTGCTGTGGGAGAGCCTGCAGGAAGGAGATATCATCTCAAAACTCATCTGTCCAAGCAAGAACAAGCAGAATATTGTATCCTTTTTTTCAGTAGCCTGCAGATATTTTGCAGATCTGACCACCCGATGACCTTTACTCAGCTTTGATTGATTCACTATGTCCTCTTGGGAAATTCATACATCATCTATTTTGAAAAATGTGTGTTTCCTTAGCTGCTTCTCATTTAAAGACTCTCACCAAGAAACCAACAGTGAGATGGTCACTGGAGGAAGGAGTGGTTGCCAAAGATTTCTCTGAGATCACTGTTGGACTTCAGCTGGTTGGCTGGATCAAAAATATCATGCCCTATGGTGTCTTTGTGGAGTTTCCATATGGCCTTTGTGGACTTGCACCCAAATCAGTAAGTAAAGAACTTTTTTAATTTGTAAACTAAAAGGCTCATACTTGTATAACAGTTATATATTTTCCTGGTTAAATTTTCAAATGTTTCTGCTTTTCCAGGCCATGACTGACAAGTTCATCAGAGATACGACGAACACCTTCCAGGTTGGCCAGACGGTCATTGCTAAAGTGACAAACCTCGATGAGGAGAAGCGGCGATTCCTGGTCACACTGAAGATTTCAGAGGTCATATCACCAAAGGGGGATGCCCAGACAAGACTCATTAATGGTCTTCAGGAGAGAAGAGCAGTCACTGAAATGTTGGTTATGAAAGGTATGTGTGAAGTCAATTAGATATAAATAGTTGCCTTTTGCTAAGTGTGTCAATAAACGCTGGGAGCTATAGACCCACGAAAGGCCAAATAAGATTGGAGTTGCAGAATTCCAGACATTTATTCCTGTTTTTGTTTTTTCTAGATAACAGTGAACTTCAGCAGCAGCTGGCTGCTCTGTCTGTTGGACAGAAACTGAAGCTGACTGTGGATACTGTGAATGACACCGGTACCACGTTTAAGTCTGATGGCTTGATTGGTGCTACCATTCTGGCCAATAAGCACCACATGATGGGTATGTACTGAACAGGAAAAAACTAGATATTTCTCATACTATTATTATTATTATTATTTTTTGCTTTGCTTTGGTCAGTGAAGCTTTAATTTTGAAGAAAATATTAAATTGGTTGGAACTTGTGGATCAAAAGCACAAGGTCAAATAGACGGGTGAGCTATTTAGTGTGTATGTTGTTTTCACAATATTCAAAACAATATTATATTATATCTAATAACAGATGAAGTATGAAGTTTACCGATTCATAACATCAGGAGGTTACAGAGAAGGTATTTTGTATGAAAGATGAGCTCATATGTAACCAAAAACTGTATTTTTTGCAGGTGTTAAACTGACCAACGGACAGAAAGTCGGTGCAGTCGTCCTTCATGTTGACATGCTTTCTGCTTGTGTCCATGTCTCTATCCTTTCCAAGGTGATGGGGAAGAAGAAATCTGTGAGTGTTTATATATATATATATATTTTTTTTAAATTAGATCTATAAAAATATAAATCCACCATTTGATTGTAATGTTTTTAATTTTTTTATAGCTGGCTGAAGGGTTGAAATACACAGCAATGGTGCAGCACATAGACAAAGACTTTGCCGTCATCTCATTGGGTGACACGGCACAGCTGACTGTGATCCAGACTTGCAGCCACCTGAATGAGATATTCCTGTCTGAGTCAGAGAAGCTGAAGGCGGGCATGACTTTGTCAGCTGAAGTTATTGAACCCAGCTGTCAAGAGCTGCAAGGGCTCCCTTTGGTGTCGTGGGAGCGCAGTATGCCAGAGCGAAAGCGCACAGCTTCAGAAAACCAGACTGGCCGCAAGGGCCACTGCTTTGGTGAAATCCTGCAGGGCACGGTGCGGACAGTAAAACCTACCTGCATCCAGGTTACCTTAGAGGATGGAAGCTCAGGTAGCGTGCATGTGTCTGAAGTGGTGGAGCCTGCAGAAGTGCGCCTGGGATCTTTCCCCACGTCATCAGTGAAAGTGGGCAGCGTGGTCACCGCCAGGGTTATCGGAGGACGAGAGGCTTCCAGTCACAGGTAATGATGGCTGTTGTGCCTCATTTTACCTGCTGGAGTAGACATATGATATGTATTCATTTTCTTTGTGTTATGTAGTAATGTAGATGTAATCGCAACTGTTTCTGTTTCAGATTCTTGCCATTCTCCCATCCAAAGTTCACATACACCATTTCCGAGCTTACGCTGATACCCAGGTAAATGTACAACACAAATAAACTTGCATTCTGGTTTTTATATTGCGTCACCTGAGCCTGATCATTATTTAATCCTAAAATAGCCAAACAACCATCATTCACACATTAACATCTCCAGCCTTTTCTGTTACTAAAATATTGCACATGTGTTTAAAATGAGTAAAATTTGTTGCACTATAATTTTCATTGGGAATTTCACCCTCCCCAAACTCTTGCATATTTTGTGCTTTTTCTGTTTTTCATCTTTTTGGTCTTTTTTCCCTCTCTGTAGCAAACTGAATGAGAGTGTCGATTTCAAACCAGTTACAGCAAAAGAAAAACTGAGCAGCTATACAGCTGGGGAGGAAATTACATGCTTTGTATCAAAGGTAAGCTTTGAAGATCGAGATGGCTGGCTTTATATTATTTTACAAGTTTTGCCCCAAACTTGAAGTGATTGTACATTAAAAAATCCAAAAACAATTTCAAAGGAAAAAGAAAGCCAAAAAGCAAGCTTGGAATTTATGTCCTCCTCTTTTTCTTCAATGTCTTCATGTTTCTCTCGCCAGTTTAACTCAGACAGAAAGTCTTTGGAAGTCACGACTGATCCCAGTGTTTCTGGAACGGTTGAACTGCTGGCAATGACCACTGATCCTAAAGTAAGTTTGTGTCTTTGCAAATGTATAGGAAGAGCAAATGTTATTTGTAAAAGGTCAATCATCTTACACTTTGTGCTTATTTGAGGATATCGGCCACCCTGAGAAACTGTACAAGCTGGGCCAAGCAGTCCGTGCCAGAGTGGTAGAAGCGAGCTTCCCTCCTCATCGCTTTGTGCTGTCACTCACAGGTAAGAGCTACATGAGGGCGATATAGCCTCAACATATAGATTAAGATGTTTCTAGGAAATGTGCAATAATGACATTTATAATGATAAAGAAAAAATGTTATTTTATTTAAAAAAAATATCTGCAAACCAAAATAAGGGCATTTTGCATCCTCCTGTTCCATTAAGCTGCTATCAGACTACTGAAGTTACAGTTTGAATCTATTGCCACAAGGTGGCAGCAGCAGCAACATTATAGTAGTAGTGACACAGCATAAGTTCAATATAAGCACTAAAGTAGCCTAGCTAGATGTTTTAGTGAAAGTGTAACATAACAGGTTAACATTTTAGTTAGCAGTAACTGAAGTAACTTAACTTCATTGTTGATTTAGCTCCATTTTTAGCTACTAAAGTTTTTGTGTTATGTTATTGTTGTTGGATCTTCTAGTTTTGAAATCTTTATCACATAAAATCAGGTTAATTTAATTTCTTGATTCCTTCTTTTTTTCTCCAGGTGTCCATAAACTGGAGAAAGGCAGCATTACTTTGGGGATAGTAACAAATATTCAGCCACAAACTGGCCTGCTGGTCAAACTTCCCTTTGGGGGCATGGGAACTGTTGCTGTCACAGACCTTGCTGATGCCTACAGGCCAAACCCACTGGCTGTTTACAACAAGGATCAGTTTCTCAGGTCAGTGTGGATGATCTCTGTTATAGACCGTGTGCAGAAAAGAATAGTTTTAAGCTAATCTGCACTAGCTTCTGTTATCCAGTGCAAACTTTACTTTTGCATTTATTTCATTGTTTTTCTAAATTACCAGTAAGCAAATTAAGAGTTAAAACTTTTTGAGTGTAACAACGTTAAACTATATTTATTTAGTGGCTACTGAAACACTACAGCTCCCATCAGCTTGCATGATAAAACAATGCAAGTGTTGCAGCAGCAGTAGATTTAACTGTAACCTGTTTTCTTCTCTTATAAAAACCGATTTTTCATCATAGCTGTGATGTCTGCTGCAGTGTTCAGTTCTCTCTGTCCAGCTGTTACAGTAATGTGACACTCGTTGGCCCACATCTGTGGAGCAAAAATCTGAAAAGCTAAAGTTAGATCTAAAAAATCTATCAGAGAACATGCAGGCAACCGTGCAACGAAGTAATGAGAGAACTTTTCTTTTGGAGCAGCACCTGGAAGTTCTGTTTTCCCTTCAGCTTTTTTAAAAATTCAATATATCAACCCACACTTTACCTTGTGGATTTCTCTTTTTTATTAGCTGTAATATTGCTGTGCCAGCTTAAATAGAAAAGACCTTTTTTCAGTGATTTAGTCGATACAAGTACATTTGTTATTTGAAGTGGAGTCAAAATTCAGTCTGCAGAATTCAGTTATGTGTCACTGACATGAAAATATTAAAATATCGTCACAACTTTAATCTCAAGACTTTCTGATTAAACATGTTTAGTGACTGTGAAGTAAATATTGATTATTTTTTATATTTTTATTATATTTATATTTTTAAAATGTTTTTTTTCAGGTGTTACCTTCTAGATAATGAAAATGACAAGTGGCAGTTGTCTCTGCGACCATCAAGGTATGAGAAGGCATCGTTGTAAAAGTTTGATTTGTGATGATTTTTGTTAATAAAGCAATAAAAATGTATCGTGTTATAATGTGTTCCTCCAGGCTGAACCCAGAGAAGGCCAAGCCAGCAAAAGACCCAGAAGTGTTGTCCATAAACAAACTGAAGGCAGGCCAGATCATCAGAGGCTATGTGAAGTCTGTTGGAGAGCAGGGAGTCTTCATCAGGTAACTAAGAGATCCATCCACAGCATGCTAATGATTGTTTTTAGAAACATTTCAACATTTATTCTAACATTTCTGCTCTTACTTGTTATATCTTCTTACTGTTCTATATAATTGTCTTTCAGGTTGTCAAGAAGCATCATTGGAAGAGCTGAGCTCCAGCAAACCACCAAATACTTTGTTAAAAATCACAAAATCGTCTCTGAGCACCTGCCTCCCAACGCCCTGCTCACCACCAAAATTCTCAGGTAAAGTCAGCTCAGAGTTCAGAAATCACTCTTCAGAATTTATGCTTTGTTACCAATTTTCTACACCGATCCAGCTTAGAATTATATCTTAACTGCCATTAATGTAGCATTTAAAAATAAAAGGGAAAAAGTTCATTATCATACCAAGTTTCAGAAGTTCTCTGGGACGGCTTCAGGTAGGGACTATTTTCAGACTCCAAACTGCCATCCTACCATTTTAATTTTGCTATTCTTGTCTTCAGTATTGACAAGGAGGAGTTTATCAACCTCTCGCTTCTCCCTGAGGAAACCGGGAAGCCAGACGTCCTTCCAGAATCGCTCGGTCTGCCGCTGCGTCTCGTCAGAGAGGAGAAGAAGAAACAAGATAAGAAGAGCAAGAAACGCCCAGCATCTGAGAGCGAAGAGGTGAAAAGACACATTCAGTTTCTTTTTTACTTTCACATGTAAATTTATTTCATTTCCTTGTGTTTTCTATTACATTGTTAACTCTTTCATTTTATGCTCTGATATTTTTGAATCATCACTTTGCATTTTTGACAAAAACAAGGCCATTGTTTTTTCATCTTCCATTTATCATCTTTGGGTCTGACAATAATAAATCCTGCACTGATCTTTGCCTAGGTGACTTTATATATGTATTGAATTGTGGTTTACGTGGGTCTTAATGGTTCTTCATTGGCAGATCTCAAAGAAAAAGAAGAAGGAATCAAAGAAGGCAAGAACTGATGATAATGATAGTGGAGTAGAGGTGTACTTCAGAGAAGAGGAGGATAAGGAAGATGAAGGAAAACCTGCAAAAGTAAGCAACTGCTTATAAACCTTTACAGTCTTGTAAATCTCCATAGATTGGGTGATTTGAATACACTTAACCAGAATCTTATGAATACGTTCTCTCCCTCAGCAGGTTACATCCAGTGCATCGTGTCCATCTAGACTGCAGGTGACAGCAGGTTTCTCCTGGGATGTGGGTCTTAGCTCCCTGAAGCCTGCCTCTGCAGCGCAGGAGGAGGACTCGAGTGATGGAGAAGACCAAGAGGGAAGCACTAAGGTGAAAAAAGAAAAAGATGTACATTCTTAGAGTTAGTGGAGAAACAGAACTTTCAGCACATCAGTTTACCCCTTAAAAGACCTCATTCATAATTTATCCATTCTCAACCTTTCTCGGCTCTATCCCGTCTCCTTTTCTTTCCTGTGTTTTACCTTAAATGTGCTCTTTCCGCCTCCCAGCCCCAGAAGAAGTCTCGTCATGAGCAAGAGCAGGAGAAAAAGGAAGCAGAGAAGGCTTTGATACAGAGAGAGGCTGAGCTGATGGATCCAAACCTGCGGCCCCAGGATGCAGCTGCCTTCGAGCGTCTGCTCCTAGCATCACCCAACAGCTCGCTGCTGTGGCTCCAGTTCATGGCTCACCATCTGCAGGCTACACAGATCGAGCAGGCCCGCACTGTCGCTGAAAGAGCCCTGAAAACGATCTCCTTCAGGTAATGGTAGACTTGTAGATGAATACACGCACTTAGCAACTTTATTAGTTACACGTGGCACACAGTACTGCTGGCTTAAGTCTGTATGATAGAGATTCAGCAAGGTGCTGGAAACATTGCGGTACTGACACCATAGTGTTACACAGGTGCTGCTTATTTATAAGAAGTTCTTTTATTGTGGTGCAGTTCTTTTATTCCACCTCATCCCAAAGGCTTTCTGTTGGATTTAGAAGCAGTTTGAGTTTTGAGTCAGTTCATGCTAATGCTTTCTCTGATAAAGGAGATATTTGACGACCTCCCCTGATGAGTTTTGATACCTTAGTATATAACAGTAAACATGTGGTTTGGCACGCTTTAGAACAGTTTAAGGTTTTTTCCCAAGGGGCGTGTGTATAGGCAGAGACCATCTCACTAACATCTGATGCACACCCAGTCATTTTGTTCAATAAGCAGGCCTGAAATATGGCGGGAATTCCTCAGTTCAAAAAAGAGCTTCAAGAACTTTACTCCTAGCAAGGTTCAAGGAAGTCAAGGAGATGTGTGGAAGTAGGGAGGCAGAATCAGGAACAAGTGAAGGTTTTGTTAAAGCTTTAGCTATCTTTTTGACTTTAACCCCTGCTGCCACCACCTAAACAGAGAGGAACTAGTCACAAAAACAAGTTAAACAGAAGTTATCAAGCACACTCAAATGCACGAGGATGAAGTGGCCACAAAGACATGCTGTCAGAACAATGGCTCTGTTGCACAGGGGCTTTCCTCTCTCTGGTCGCAAGTCCTCTCTTTACTCACTGCTTTGTGTTAGGCATTTAATAATAGGTCAGCTGCGATTTAAAGTGCAAGACATGGTTAGCTGCAACAAGCTACCACCTTAATTGTAGGCAGTTGTTTGTAAAAACTCCAGTGCTTTCTAAAATAGTCAAACCAGCCTTTCTCACATGAACGCCTTTCTGCATTCAGATCACCTTTTTTCTGCACTTTGATGTTCACTTTTAACTGCAGCAGCTTTTGAACTATATTTACACGCCCAAATGCTGCAAGTCTGTTCTAAAAATGGTTGACTAAATAATCGTAGTTTAGTCAACCAGTCAGCTACAGCAATGAGTAGTTGAATTTGTTTAACTGAGAAAGCGATCTCTGCATCCAGTTGCAAGAAAGTTTGTGCACAATTTAACTAAAGATGGTTAGATGTGTAAAATTGTGCCTGTTGTGGTTCAGGGAGGAGCAGGAGAAGCTGAATGTGTGGGTGGCCCTGCTGAACCTGGAGAACATGTATGGCACAGAGGAGAGTCTCAAGAAGGTGTTTGAGCGGGCAGTGCAGTTCTGTGAGCCCATGCCTGTATACCAGAAGCTGTCTGAGATCTACGCCAAGTCCAACAAAATCAAGGTACTTTCTCAGAAAATACCAAAATATTTAGGTACGCATATTTAAATAAGCATCTGATATATGCACGATCTGTGTGTTGTTGACTCATTGTGGGGGTTTTTTGTACCCAGGAGGCAGAGGGCCTGTATAAGACGATGGTGAAGCGCTTCCGTCAGAATAAGGAAGTGTGGTTTAGCTATGGGACCTTCCTGCTTCAGCAGGGTCAGAGTGATGCTGCCAGTAATCTCCTGCAGAGGGCGTTGAAGAGTCTCCCTCCAAAAGAAAGTAAGAGGGCCTGTTTAAACATCTTGTCATACTAAAGTGATCATAGCGTCTGTATGTACAATACCTCCTATGTACATTTGATGTATGTTGTCCACCAATAACTTAACGCTCATGGTTTTTGCAGTTATTCTTAAATATTAGGGTGGCTGTTTATACAGTTGCATCCCACCACCCAACACCACCACTAGCACTGAAACTGATGCAATATTTTCAACAATTCTTTTCACCTGTCAAAGCTGTGTTTTTCTACAGGACGTAACCTTTTCTGTGTTCTCATCCTCTTCTCTCAGGTGTGGATGTGATCGCCAAGTTCGCTCAGCTGGAGTTTCGTTACGGTGATGTAGAGAGAGGTCGCAACATGTTTGACAAAGTCCTGAGCACATACCCAAAACGTACCGACCTGTGGTCTGTTTTCATCGACCTCATGGTCAAACATGGATCGCAGAAGGAAATCAGGTGAACAGAAACTTTCTTTTCATCGTCATGGTTACCATACGTTATTCCGTATGCTATAGCGTCTGTGTTCCTAAACAGTTACACACTCATAAGAACTGACATGTGAGATGGGTAAGTGTGTAATATTGTATTACAACTTCTGCCTCTTTCAGAGCGCTCTTTGATCGAGTGATCCACCTGAGTGTTTCTGTGAAGAAGATCAAGTTCTTCTTCAAGCGTTACCTGGAATATGAGAAGACACATGGCACCCCTCAGAGCGTCCAAGCAGTAAAAGAAAAGGCCATTGAGTTTGTGGAGGCTAAAGGCACAGAGGGTACCAAGTAAAGTCCAGATATATGCAGGCAAACACCTTATAAATGCAGGTGGACACGCGTGACTTGCTGTGTATTTGTATCCTCAGATGAGGAGGAGCATTTTCCTCAAAATGACCAATATTTTAGCTTGTAATTAAGTTTTTTGTAATAGTTGTGGACTCATGAGTGTTGAACTTGTATGCTACAATACTGTGGGTCTATAAAACAACAGTTTTGTATGATAATGAGTAAATCATGTCACGATGATTGCTGACTGTTTGAACAGATTTATAAAAGCTTCAATAAAACCTTTGTCATACGACTCGTCGACCTTTCAATAAATCCAAGGCTGTTACAATACATTACATGACGCTTTATTTAAAATACAAAAGGACAATATATATATAGGGAGACATTACATACAATACATACAGGCAAGACTAGTTTTCTATCAGTCTTTTTTTTTTTTTTTTTAAAGGGAAAAGGGCCTGGGACACAATCGGTAACAACATCATCTACTTAAATCGTCGCGGTTGTAATCCGGCTGGTCTGTTTCAGCCAGAGGGTGTAGCTGCCTCTGGCTCCTGGAGCATTTCACCTAAATTGGCAGTATTGAAGATGCATGTATGGCACAGGGTTATAGGGTGATTGACGTGGTTTGTGCTGGCTGTATTGGTAACACCCCTGAGATATTAGAGGTATCCATACTGATCCTGTAATTTGATGTCCTGCTCAATGCCAGTAGAGTCATTTCTCTCCGGCAGTGTTGCACCAGTCGTCCAGTGACAGTGGCAATGATCCAACTTTCTATTGCTGCTCCTTTTCCTGTCTTTTTTTTTCTTTTCTTTTTTTGGTGAACAGTGCAACATGGAAGTAGAACTAGGAGCATTTTAATGAAAGATCCTATTCATTCACCCTTTCTGACTGATTTGACCAAATCATGTTGGTGCTATCAATATTCAGTTCCCACGAAAGCATAACTGCTCAAAGGTCAGCAGCAAAGCTGCTACTTGGGGCTCTTTAACATTTCTTCAAGATGACCCTTTTGTTCATCTTCTCTAGTGTATTTAATGTGTGTGTTTTCTGTAAAGGGAGTCTTTTCTCTTCTTCCGATGGCTCGTTCACACCTCCTCTGGGTCCATAGGCCCCTCGGCACCCTGGGGAGCGTCCGAGTGTAGCCGCAGGATGGGCTTGTTACACATGGGGCACACGCTGCGGATCTCTAGCCACTTAAGCAGGCACCTGACAGGACAAGAAAAATAACAGCTTGAAATAATACTGCATAGCTGTTTTTTTTATTACTCAGGATTTATTATCGGGACACTATTATTGTTGCTTTAGTTTTGGGGGATTTTTTTTTTTTAAGTCAACTTTTAAAGCTTAAAATAGCAGGAAAGAACTTTGTTTCCTGTTGAAATGAAAAAACGACAACATCTCCCACAGCAGTACTGCTGCGGTGGAGCATGGGTGGAGCGAGAGGGGTACGACATGCAGAAAAGGGGCGCAGGCTGCTGCATCTCAGCCATGCGTCATGTTGTAACCCGTTCACCCACTGAGCTAGACTGACGCCTCTGCACTTTTTGGAGAAAGTAAAGTAACTTTTGTCATTTAAAAGTGCCACCAGCAGAGGTCACACAGGACTCTCTTGCTCTACTTCCTTGGGATTTTCAACTGCTGCAAATGTTTTTCACATCATTTTTGCATTTGCACACATCAATACTAAAGTATTTAGATATGATCGCAAATATAATCTGTAATTTGTCAAATTTTCTACCAGATTATATGAAGCTGTTGGATTATGTAAAATAACATCACTGCTACCAAATTTTGTGACCATGTCTAAATACTACGAAACAGCGTTTTATTTGTGCCACCTATTATAATAAAGTAGAAGTTCGAAGAGTGGTGAAACAACACTCACACTTACTTTACAAAAATTCTAACTGGATCCTTTTTAGAGTTAATTATTGATGACAGAATGGGCAGTGTGGTGCAAGTTAAAGAACCACTGCTTTAGTGTAACACTGGTTAACCTAAAAAACAGCTTAACCGGTGTTACACAAAAACAAGAAGCTGGGAAAACCAGTCCACTAGGTTGGCTCTGTCCTCAGGTGAGAATATTAAGTAACACTAAAATTCCCCCAATTAAAATTTTACATCCAGCATTTGGTTTAACCTTTTTTTTTTCTTTGTGTTTCTAGAAGAATAAGAAAAATATTTTTTAACCATTTATGGCCACTGACTTTATAGTCAACCTTATGAGCACCCTCTAAGTAGAATTTCACAATCTGCTAATTTTGGGCTCATTTTAATGACAACTAAATCACTTGGCTTTTTACTTTCCACAATAATTAGCTAACAGAACAACATAACAAAACACACCTTGAAGATTCTCATGTGTTACGAAACTGGATTTTTTGAAACTGTAAATGTGCCCGTCTCTAAAGCAGGGTTGTGAAGTAAGGTTTGGCTTGAGATAAAAAAAATTATTTCCCAAAAATCAATAAATGAATAATTTATTTAGCACAATTCAGAGTGCTGCATATTGAACTGAGAGAATAGAAACAAAGCATCGATCCAATCACACTAATATCAATCGATAGTATCAATATTCGATTATAGTTATATTTGCAACCATACAGACAAGCAGCCAAGCTAACAGTTAAAAACAGTTTTACAGTCATTGGAATAAAAAGGGGAAATAAACAGTTGTGTAAATGCTATTGCAAAACAACCCATAGCTTTCACTGACGCCTGTTTTATTAATCTAGTGGGTAAATTAAATTCAAATTAAGTAGATTTGTCCTCACAGGATCACTGTGACATTGCAACCCGTTTGTGTTTATTCTTTTCGCTAAGATTAAAGTAAAGGCTGCCTCTCAGTGTGTCCCACACAAAGCTTTTAGTTTGTTGTGATCTCGCCACGCCTAATGAGAATGACATTAATTTAACTTAACTGAAGAGAACGGCAAATAATTGCAGCTACTATTTCTACTGAGCTTTTCACATCACTGTTTTATTAACACTCACTTCTTGTGAAATGCATGTGAGCACGGACACACTCCCAGCTCATCTCGGGTCCTGAATTCTTCCAGACACACTGCACAGGTTTGCTGCAGAGCACAAACGACACAGAGGTTAGTTCGGTTGGCTTTTTTCTGGTTATAGACATCATATATGTATATATATATCCTTACAAACCTAATACACTTGCCTTTTTGTAGCTAAATTTAAGTGGTAAATTAATTTACCGTTTTGCTTTAAAGTGCAAGTATGTCAGTGTTGTGAAAGTGTGCTTTTATCTTAACTGTGTTTTCAGGCAGCAGGGCTATTTCAAACTAAAAAGAGAAATTGGATATTGAATTTATACCAAAATTAGCCCTAAGCCTTGGTTTTAAACAAAATACTTAGAAGTTGTTGTTTTTTTTTTTAAACAAAATCACAAGAGGCAGGACAGAGATGTTTTTTATAATGTATTTTGAATGAGTGCAGTTATTCCTGGAGCCCTACATTCTGCAGGCACTCTCACACTGACAGTATTTAAGATATTTTCAGCACATCTCCACCCTGAGTACGTGCAGCATGCTAATAACGTCTGAAGGAGAAACTGATTGAATGAACCAGCCAAACATTCCCAGCACATAATGATCTCATCTAAACTGGCACATAAACAATGTGGGCAACAAACAGCTGACATTGTTTAACATAGGTCTGGTTCACATTTTATAAGAAACTATGACTTACTCCAAGAAGGCTTAATTTTTTGCTTGCCCCCTTCAGCACCACCTGCAGAATAAAAGGGGAGAGAAAGAAGAAATGTGTTGGGTCATGTGATCTATGCGTCAGCATCATGGGTCAACTGTGGCGTTACACGGCAGAAAAGATACAGTGTAAAACGGGCATTTTTGTGAAAACATAACTGATATGTGTTGATTTACTCCTACATGGTGAAAAAATACATTATAAATGCAGAGAAAACAAAAAAACCTGCAGTTCCTGTTCAACCTTCCCTGTCTGAAAGCATTATTACCAACTGTCAACACGCTACACTGTTAACACTCTGCCACCAGTTTAGTGTATGGGGCCTCATCACACGGATTACCATTTTAAAACCAGAACGTAGCGACACATAGATGGATTCAAGGTCATCTAAAAGAGGGGGTGTTAGATTTCACAGTTGGCGATATCAGCCTAAGATGTTACACTCGTATTTATAACAGGCCTAAGAAGCTGGTGTTACATGTGCACCCACAGTGGCAGATACTGCATTGACATACCTCATTGTAACTGAACTGCTCCCTAGTTCCTTGTTGCTTCAACCTGGGAGAGACACAAAGAAAACAACATCTGTAACAACTGTGACTTAAGTTCTGATCCTGACCTGTGATTGCAAGATAAAACACACACACACACACACACACACACACACACACACACACACACACACACACACACACACACAATCCTAACTTAATTTCACAGAACTGCTCGCATTTCCTGTTCCTCCAGTCCATTACTGTGGTTAAATTAGCAACATTTATAGAAACTTGTTTGCAATTTTATTCTCGACTAATATTTCAAAATGTTACTCATAATCATGTTGAGCCTGGCAGGATGTTCATTACTATCTGAAGAAAATCTGATAACAGTATTAGTTGTAATATTTATGTCTTTTTTTTAAAAATGATTTGTTTATTTTTTAAATCAGACATTTTTTATGAGTCCTTTACACTAATTGCACTAACCTCATTTATTGGGTGTAGCACAATGGTCCAAAAATACAGTGCTGACATCCTGACAATATCATTTCATGAACGTAATACACTAAGCATAAGGAAATACACTTAGCTTTAACAAACACATGAACTTTATACAAGAAGCAGCATTCATATTGATTTGGAATGTTGTAAATGAAACTCCAGTAACTTTGTTTCTCTGTTTTGCTTTAGATGGCCAGTGGTCACTAATTTTCCTGCACTGGTGCTGTACACGTGGCATATAGTGGCTTTAACAACCTTTCGCTTAAATCTAGGGAATCACAGGGTAAGTAATGATATAATGCTGTTAGAGTATGTTGCCCACAATTATCTTACTATCATAATACAAAGATTCTACAACTCTCAACACATTGTAAAACATTCCGACATTGATTTAATAAACCAATTAATATATGGGTAAAATGTATCAATAAACAAAAGAGATCAATGCAGCATTTTGCTGTATTATTATTTCCCCCACCTCCACTAAAAACAGCTTCATCTGACCCCCCCCAAAAAACTCAAAAGAAACCCAACACCCATGTATGCAAGAAGAGTGAAACAAAATGACTAAGATATAGTCAAAAATGAAAGACATGAGGTAGAATGTGCTAAAATACTCTGTGGTGAACTGCAGAGTCAGTAAAAATGATTGGAGTTCATGAATAGCAGCAACCTTTTTTTCCTGAGTGCTTTGCTTTTGCCTTATATAGAGAATATTTGTTGTTCTACACAAGAAATCCAAGCATAAATTGTGTTTTAACAGTTCTAAACAACATGTCACACCTTTGGCAGCTCAACACTTGCTTGGTAAACTTGCATGACATTCGCTGCTAACATTAACACATCAATACGTGAAGATAGCTGACTGCCAAGGTGGTTAGGAATTAATTTGAAGCTGCCGTGGCAGCGTGTTCCAAAGCTTGCTCAAACTTGCCCGAAAATCTCGAACTACTGGTTTGTTTATCTCAGACTCGCCCGACCTACCTGAAAAGGTAGCAGCAGAAGATGAGGCTGAGCATGAAGACGAAGAGGCCGATGCCCAGAACAATGACATAGACATTGAGCGGCAGGTGATAGATGTCAGACCCCATGCTGCAGTAGTGCTCAGAACGCTGAGAACCCAAACCACACTGGCATCCTACCAGGAAAAGTTTTGAAATAACAGATTACATACTTAACTTGTTTGCCACCTTCTAAGGTAAAAGTCCAACATGTAAAATCAAGTTTGAGGAATTAGAAGACTTTCTCATTTCAACTCTTTGATGGGATGCCCATGAGAGAGAAAAACATAATAAAATCCTGTTTTCTTTTATAGGTCATGAATTTGAAATTGGTTTAGGGTTGCTGTCTTTTTAAAGCTGCATTTCTTCAGCTTTAAACAGAGAGATGCTGAAAAAGAGACTGCAGCATTGTTTAATCTCCCACTATATCCAGCTATCTACAAAGATTTAAAGTATGCAGCCGTTAGCACCGACAGTTTAAAGTGAAACTGATAGCATAAACATTAGACTGTGCCGTTTGTTTGAGCAATTACTCTGGTAGACAGCTGAAGGTAATTTTCCTTTCTAAGGAATAAGGGGAACGCCCAAACTCTTATTGGCAAATCATAAACACTTTATTTCCAATATAAAATGAAAAGAAAGATTAATCATTGAAGACAAGTACACAAACGTTGATCATTAACAAGAACATGGACAAGCTTCTAGTGCCAGTAAAACTGAGTGTGTCTGCTGATGTGGAACTATGAATTGCAAACACATGTGACACTCTAGATAAACTCCACAAAAATCACAAGCTTTACTCACAGCATTTGTTAAGGGTTCAAATTTAGTAAGTGCTTAGTTGCAGGTGTGTCTGGGGAACTGTGACTGGCACTGTGGTGGCAACTGAGATGCTCATAGGAGTGTGCGTTAATTTGCTGTGAACAAGACAAACATGAAGGGCAGACATCACTTCCGCCACACCACCATCTGTTCCACAGACTACAGAGATGACTGGTAGAGTGTGAGCTCGTGTGTGTGCGCTCGGGGATGGAAAAGCAAAGCTGCGTGGTGTCTGTGTGGTACAATCGAAATATGTGTGCGTTGCAGGTGGCGGGGGGTGTGATGCATTAAACAGAATGAACTTGGGGGACAAGGGCCATTTGGTAAAACAATAGCAGAGGAAGCCCCACTTCCACAGGCCACATGTGTTCCTATTAATTTGTAGCGAGGATGCTCTTTGCCAGCCTCTAAATGTCCATGTGTCTCTCTTTAGAGTGAATGAATGGGTACAGCTTGCACACTGTGGGGGGTATGGGAAGGGTAATTTGACATGGCTGGGGGTTGGGGGATTTACAAGCACCGGGTGGAGGGTTTCATAGGAAAGACCTATTGTAGCATAATGAAAGATACAATTAGGAATCACCCCAAAGAAGAAAAATAAAAATATGGAGCAAGGTAACAGAATAAAATGTCACAGTTGTCAACAACAACAAAAAAACCCAAACAAAACAACATGTTCTGGAAAGCAGCTTATTTTAAGTGCTCACAGCTCACTCTTCAAAACACTATCTAAGGCCTCCACTCCCTGCAATTTGCCCATTCACAAGCACATCCATTATCTGAATCCCATTAGCCAACAGCCAGCAACTAAGTAACTTAGTTTATGAAGTAAGTACATGTGCTTCCATCTCTCATATATTTAGAGAAGTGCCAAGGAATCCACTCACTTACCGTTACACCATTGGAATGGTTGCATGAAATGTGACTCCCAAGGCAGCCGCAGTAAATTCAGGCCCTGTCAGGAAAAGGCTGGAGACAAGCCAAACTCGTGGGCTGGAGCTTCGGACACTGAAATCTGTTTTGGAGTCTAGATTCAGTTACACTGAGCTGGATTGCTCTTTTTCTTGGGTTGTGCTAGCTCCCGCAAACAACAACCATCAAGATTTGCTCAGATTCCACAAATCCTCTGGAGGTGTGGTTTTGTTGGCTCAGCAATCTGTGCTGCCCAACATTCCCAAATCTGGATTAACCGCTCTGTGTTAAGATTGGGAGATTTGGGACTGAGGTTTGGACCAGGACTGGAGACCTCATGTGCTCCTGGATCCCAGTGAGAATGATGTCATCACAGAAGAGAAAAGAGACAAAGAAAACCTGTTTAGATGAGATGATTGTTTCTCATATATCTCACACCAGGTGCAGCTCAGCAGTTGTTACTGTGAGAAACTGATTCTCGCTTGATCGCAGTGTGGTAAACAACACAGGCTGCTTTGTAACAGGAAATACTTACATTTCCACCAGAAAGGGGCCTCTTTGACTTCACTTTGTGTCTGCAGTGTCGTCCCTTCACGAAACTCAGTAACAGCTAGCTTTCAAAATGACAGTCCTCACCCAGTGAAGGCAATTATCTGACATTAATCTGTGCTTTGTCTTCCTCGAAAAGCTGCTTTTTTTAACAGGGGATTTTCACAAGTCTCATCCCCCTCTTGTCTCCTCTGTTGTCTCCTCCTCCAGTCTTCTGATCTTGCAGTTGATATTTCTCCTCAGCACAGAAGGCAAAGATATGCTTCCTTCAAAGCCCAAACAAAGTGAGGACAGCTCCATGCAGTCAACAACAGTCCTCTTGCTGGGTTTGGTGTTTTGCTTGCGAGTGTGTGTTTGTGTTTCAGTCAGTGGATGTATGTGCGCGTAGGGGGGGATCCTACTCTCCCTCTAACCATCTGCTGCTTCAATTGAGAAGAAAAAAAAAATCTGAGACAAAGGCGGTGTGTGCGCAAGAGTGTGTCTGCGTGTGTCGCATTCAGCCTCTTGCACCTCCAGCTGGCTTTGTCATGGCAGGCTTCCCTTCTTCCTCTTTCAATCTATAATGGTGCTCAGAGAGAGAGCCTGCGATTCGCCTTTCCCTTCCTCCTCTTGCTCTGCTCTGCCTTGGGTTTGTAAACAGATCTCTGCTCATGTGACCAGCCGTTTTGCCTCGCAACTCTCCTCTCCCTCAGCCCTCCCTTGCTACCTCTGTCCTCCAATCTGTAGGCAGAAGGAAGGCAGAATGAGCCAGACACTGACGAATAGGGCTCCTGCAAGCATGCTGATGTGTATGTGTCTGTATGCGCACACCCCTGTGCCTGTATATGTGAGAGGGAGAGAAAAGAGACACTTGCAGCAAAGTCAAGGGAGGCCCCGGTCAGTGATATGCGCATGGCTGATGTCCTGACAACCAAAACAAAGCCATTTGTGTGAAATGGAGGTCAGAAAAAGAATAAATGATTCATCGTCATTCCTCACTTCACACATAACCAAACGGTATTTTTGTAATAGTGTGATACCCGCTTTTGTTTTGAATATTTGCTTTGTTTGATCTAATATTATATATATATATATGTAAATGATGATGTCACTGCTTTGTGACAAGAGAACCAATAGAAAGAACATGAATCAGGAAGTACGTCTGCATATGAGATTGTATAGATAAGATAAAAAGTGGGAAGAGAAAAATGACAGACAAAGACGTTGTGTTCATGCCACCCCCACACCAGGAGCCCTGGCTGCCAATTCGCTGAGGGAGAGAACAGCTGCTGGGCTACTGGGCAAGCTGCGAAGCGGTCAAGGGGAGTGCTGCTCCTCTAATCCCTAAGGGCAGGGAAAGAGGGAGGGAGAGAGTTCAATAGGATACATGCCATTTTCATTTACCCCTCCTCTCCTCCTTCCTCCACCATGCTCTAGAAATGGCATTACTCCTGAGCACGGGGGAACAGCTGGATTGGCTGCACAGAAGCACGAGCCTAAATACTCTCTTTAACACAGTGCGTGCATTGTTGGGTTCTTACAAGTTTGACTGACCCGATGTGTTGTAGCCAAAGGTTGTGTTGCCACTGTAGGCATGTGAAAGGTGATGCTTTTGGTAACAGGACGCCCTCTTGTGAAATATGGGAAAAACACCATTGTGTTGACAGCTTGCTGATGACGTGGACAGGAGACAAATTAAAGGAAAAACGTGAACTCTTCACCTCTATAGTGAGGGAGTCCAGCAGCTCTGTTAGGCTGTTTGGAGCATTTTGCTGCTCTTGCGTTGACCTGCTTATCCCTTTAGGGAGAAAGGTCATTCCATTTGACAGATTTTCTGAAATTATGGAAATTTCTGTTGTTCTAAGAGAATGGGCTCTTCAGGGATGACAGTACCCGCACAGAGCACGAGGGGTCACTAACCCTAACCCTTACCCTATGTGAAAATCATAGTTACCGGATCACAATGCAATTAAACCATTTTGGAGATGTTGGACCAGTGTTGTAGATACCATTTCTACCACCGCCATCAGGACAACAATATATTTTGAAAGAAAGTTACCCCAGCTTTCCAGCAGCATTGGACGCTCCACTGATGCTGTCTTAGAGGCATATGATAGCCAAACACTGTAATAAGACGCTTTTTATTACCCATCTTTATATAGGTATATCAAAAAGGTTACATATTCAGCTTTAATTACATTTTTCTGAAATCAATATTTAAAAGCCTTTTCAAATAGAACAGAAGCAAAGTATTTGCTCGGTGATTGTAAAATAGGGTTTACCAGGGAGTGAGTGACAGAATTGGGGCTGAGCAAGCAAATAAAGAAGATGCAAATGTAGACCTTGTTTTCGCAGTGACATGTAAATTGTTTTGACTGCGGCAACCTTTAGTTTTTGCATAAATCTTAGGTTTGCTTTATTGCAAATGCAGTATTTCTGTAGCGTTATATTCAGAGAAAATCCACATAGTAATCTCACGTGGGCAGCAGCCTCAGTTAGCTGCCATTATTCGTCTACAGGCCACAGCAGAAAAGGCAAGAAGCCGTTTCAGAAAAATCTCTGTGCATGCAGAAATAAGCAAGAAGTGTCCTTTATCACTAACAAGATCAACTTTTCATTGTTTTTTAAGATATAGGTTGCACGAGACACAGTGGGTGCTTGACGTAAACGGAGCTCTTCTAAGCGATGTTTTCATTTCTGTCTAGTTCTGCTCTGGGAATATTTATGGTGGCCTTGCACTTGAGAGCAATACAAACATTCATTAGTGTTATCAATGAGAACTCTCCAGTGTGCTCTAATAATGCTTTACTATCAGCCTGATAAAGCAGCACTTATTAGCAGCCTAGAATTTACAGACTTCAGATTTCTGCCAAGCTCAGTCCCTTGGGGAACGATGAGAGCGTGTTTTCGACAATAATTCATGACAAACAGATAAAACACAGAAATGAAAACAACAGACTTTGGATTACACCCAGTGCCAGACATGTTCTCTGTAAACTGAACTGTATGTGAACCAGAAATATGTCGACAGTTTTTGTTTTCTTAAAATCTATTATACATAGCTACATACATATAGATTATATCATCAGTCAACCAGTCAGTTAAAATAGTGTGCATTTAAATAAAGCTTAAACTGCAGTGCAGAATGCGATAATATATATTCTATCTTTCGCAAATAAAATACTCTGGAAAAAAATAGTTTCTCTTTAAACTCTTTAGACCTTACTGTAATACACCGCCCACTCTTTTTTCTCCACATCGTGAGTGTGGCTCTTTACAAACCCGTTTATTTCCCCGTTAATGTTTCCATTCATTTCCCCCTTTTTTTCATCATCTTCATGTTCTTTTCTCAGAGCCAGAGGTGGCTTACAGGTGTGCCAGTTCCACAAAACTTTGTTCATATCATCCTGGGCTCTGATACCCAACAGCTTTTCCTCATCACTCTTCCACGTGTCTTCATCTTCGTTGTCGCTCTCGTGTTTGCTGTGATGGCGGTGGAAGCTTCTCATCTCTCCGCTGATGTTCTCAAAGTATTGCTGGATGCAAACCTTGGCAAAGCTCTTGGCGTGCTCCTTACAGGTTTCATCGAACATCTTGCGTTCAATGTCAATATAATGGGACCAGTATTTGGTTTTGAGGAAGGCGGCCTGGGTGAAGCATGGCCGAATAGCTCGGATCAGGAAGGCAGTGAAGGTCATCATGAGCAAAACCATCCATCCGCATGCCTGTGAAATGCAGAAATGATAAATCCAGCAAAATGACCACTATTTTGAGCTCTCTAATGATGCACTATAAACAAACTATAGATGTTAGAAGGATCACACATAGACATCCTGCTAATCTTCACTCCTTCTGATTTATCTGTGCTTGTGCAGCTACTGAAAATCAGATGTGGTGAAGAAGGCATATTTAGCAGCTTCTTGACAGCGTCATAGCTCATTAACAGAATCTGTATATCAACTGACTTTTTAGAGATATCTTACTTTTAAGCCTGTATAATTGCCCTTCAGCTGATCAAAGACCTAAATAACAGTGTGGGTGTTTTTGGAAGAAGTGGAAGAGGTCCCAGTTCCATGAATAATAAATTTCAAGGCTTATCTATTGCTCTAATAAGCCAGCAGGAAAGCTTCAGTGAGCTCAAACTGTAAAGTGAATTATAGTCTGGCAGGGAGATTTAAGTTAAGAGCAGTCTTTGAGGAATAAAGCGAAGAAACTAAAATTAGTTTTCCTTGTTTTGAAGTTAAAATAGTTCAGTGAAATGACAGCCAGGGCTGAAGCCAGGATTTTAGAGACACTGAGGTCACGAGGGCCCACATTGGTACTCTTTTGATGGTTTTATTTAATTAGATTATTCATATTATTATTATTTTTTTTTTGTGAATTAAATTTGATTGCGTAAATGCCTTTTAAAGGACAACTCTCTACAGTTTAGAAAGATGGTGAATCTTTGGTTCCTTATTTAGTTATTCATTTAGTTGGCTTAAGAGTCAAATCTAAATCTGTTCAGCCGAACAATACTTGAAACAGCCAAATACAAACTCACCGATTTATTTTTTTTAAATTAAATATTGTCAGCTAAGGGCAGTGTTGTCATTTTGTTGTCAGTCATTTTGACTCGCCATGGAGAAAAACTGCAGGTGGTACTAATAACAGTAACAATACGTCTTTTCTATTCAGCTACTCGAGTGACAATGAGTCAGCACGAACAATACCAAGACTGTGGAATTCAGCTACCATAACTTTTTAATGGAGAAATTATTGACTGATACCAGCAGCTGGACAATACCGACATTTTGTGTTCTATTTATTTTGGTTTTGGCCTGTTTATCCACATTGTTTCTGCCAGGGAAACAAAAGAAATCTGCATAATTAAAAATTGGATCACATGAGCCAGACTTCCCTCAAAAGAGCCTCGAAAGATCCCTTAAAACAGCTTGAAATCTTTCAGCTCTTCATTCTGCTGTGTTTGAAGATGTAGTCAGCACAAACATTGGCCACTCACAATGATAAATGTCTTTTTTTTTTACCGTTGGTGTAAATCAACAAGGATGACACCAAAGTCCTTCAAGAAGCAAGGCTCACCGCTTGGCTCCCATCTTAGCAAAATCTTTAGGCAGGTATGTGGGGGTTTATTTTTAAACGGCTAAATGAATGGAGAGAAGGCCATAAAAGTTATTTTCTTTATGATCATAGGGACAAACCTGAAAAAACCCCCACTAACAACTAAAGCTGCTTTATTATGGCTCTAGAGCACAGAATAAAATTCATGTTGTGGTTACAGTAGACAGAGAAAAAATAATATGTTAAAACTTTCAGGAGCATCTATTGTGCACTTGTGTCAATGGAACAACATGATTGGCTCATACACCGATCAGACATAACATTTATCTCCTTATCATCTCACCCTTTAGTGGGTGAGATATATTAGTGTTCTCAAAGCTGAGTTTTAGAAGCAGGAAAAATGGGCAAGTCTTAGTATTTGAGCAAGTTTGACAAGGGCCGAATTGTAATGGGTAGGCCACTGGGTCAGAGCATCTCCAAAATTGCAGCTGTGTGGTGTTCTTGGTCTGCAGTGGTCAGTATCTATTAAAAGTTCAAGGAAAGAAGAGTTGTGAACAAGGGTCACGGGCAACCAAGGCTCACTGACGAGTTTAGGGTGGGGAGGCTGGTCCATGTGGGCCAATCCCACAGATGAGCTGCTGTAGCTCAAAAAACTTAATGCTGGTTCTGACAGAAAGGTGTCAGAAAACACAGTGCTTCTTATTATTATTATTATTATTATTATTATTATTATTATTGCTGAGCCCTGTCAACCACCAAAAATGTGTGCATCAGAACTGGACCGTAGAGCAGTGAAAGAAGCTAGCCTGGTGTGATGAGTCACATTTTCTTTGACATCACTGGGATGGTCAGGTGCATGTGAATTGCTTACCTGGGGAACACTTGGCACCAGGATTCACTATGAAGAAGGATAGCTGGCAGAGGCAGTGTAATGCTTTGATAATGCTCTGCTGGGAAATCTTGGGCCCTGCCATCCACGTGGGTGTTACCTTGATATTACCAACCTAAGCATTGATGTAGACCATTTACACCCTGTCATGAGAACAGTATTCCCTGATGTCTGTGGCCTCTTTCAGCAGGATAATGAGCTCTACTAACAAGCAAAAATGGTTCAGGGATAGATTGAGAAGGACAACAAAGAGTTTGAGGTGTTGACCAATCAAGCATCTGTGGGATGTGTTAGACCAGGGGTCCCCAATCCCAGTCCACGAGGGCCGGTGTCCCTGCAGGTTTTAGATGTGTCCTTGATCCATCACAGCTGATTTTAATGGATAAATTACCTTCTCAACATGTATTGAAATTCTCCAGAGGCCTGGTAATGAACTAATCATGTGATTCAGGTGTGTTGACCCATTGTGAGATCTAAAACCTGCAGGGACACCGGCCCTCCTGGACTGGGATTGGGGACCCCTGTGTTAGACAAACATATCTGATCCACGGAGGCCACACCTCTCATCTTACAGGATTTAAAGGATCCGTTGCTAACATTTTGGTGCCATATACCAAAGCAGAACTTCAGGGGTCTAATGGAGTCCATGTATCCACAGGTCAGGACTTTTTTTTGCCAGCAAAAGAGGAATCAACACAATATTAGTTGGTCATAATGTTACGGTTGATCGGTGTATGTTTCCCATTTTGGCTATTAATATGCTTTTTGGATGAAGATATATTGGTGTATCCTCTAAATGCAGTGTTTTCACTGTTTATTTCACACTTGTATATTTAATGTTATCTTTTTTTCTCAATTCTACTAAAAGTAACATTCTTGTATTTGGCCCTGACAGTTTCACTAAGGAGGTCAGTCAGCACATCGGCCCCACATCGGCGGTAATTAGATCATCTTCTAAGAAGCTTTTGGTATCATCTTTGAACAACATCTAAAGTTTGAATCTCTAAGCTCTCTAATATCTTAATCTCTAAGAATGTCTAAACTCATCCAGTCCAGTCTATTTCAAAAGTCAGACCTTAACTATCTGGAACTTTTAGTCGACACTTCAATTTTCTCTCGCCTTGATTATTTTAACTCACTTTTCACTTGTATCTCTCAGTTCTTCATAGCAAGTCCTATTATTAACACGTAAAGCTCTACATGAGCAGGCCCCTGCTTATGCAGTGCATCAGGAAAGTATTCATAGCTTTTTACTTCTTCCACATTTCGTTAAATTTATTTTCAACACAAAATTCTGCCCACCCCTTAATGATAAGTTTTCCTAAGTAAAAAAAAAAAGCTTGAAATTCTTACGAATTTATCAAAATGAATAAATACATAAAAATAGAAAATGTACATAGATTTTACAGCCTTTGCTTCACCGTAGGCATGGTATTGGCCCAGTTTCTGCCAGACATATTGCTTGGCATTCAGGCCAAAGAGTTAATATTTATTTCATATTTGTTTAATCTCGTCAGGGTCGAGAGAAAGAGCAAGGCTGGATTTCTGTGGAATGGCTATTGGGTTCTCGGTCACCTCCATGACTAAGGCCCTTCTACCTTGATTGCTCAGATTGACCATGCGGCCATCTCCACAAAGAGTCCTGGTGGTTCCAAACTACTTAAATGTATGGATGATGGGATCTAGTGTGCCCATTTGGACCTCGACAGAATCCTCTCTCTGAGGGTATTAATATAGCACCAAATCACAATGAGAGTCACCACAAGGCATTTTATATTGTAAGATAAAGACCCTACAATAAAATAACACTCAATGCATCATGACTTCAGTAACCGCAGCCTATTGCAGCATAACTAAGGGAGGATTCAGGGTCACCTGATCCAACCCTAACTATATGCTTTGTATAAAAGAGTAGTTTTAAGCCTAATATTAAAAGTAGAGAGGGTGGTGTTTGGTCTCCTGAATCCAAACTGGGAGCTGATTTCACAGAAGAACCAAGCTGAATTCTCCGGCTCCCATTCTACTTTTAAAAACACTACGTAACAAAAGTAGTCCAGCAGTCTGAAAGCAAAGTGCTTTACTGGGGGTGTTTGGTACTCTGAGATCTTTAAGATGAGATTGGCCCTGATTAATCAAGACCTTGTATGTGAGTTGAAGGATTTTTAATTTCATTCCGGATTTAACAGGGAGCCAATGAAGAGAAGTCAATATTTCTCCCACAGTGGCTTCTCTTCATTGGCTTAACAGGTGTGTGCCTTTCCAATTCATGTCCAATCAACTGAATTTACAACAGGTGGCCTTCAATCAACTTGTACAAACGTCTAACAAAGGATCAGTGGAAATAGGATACACCTGAGCTGAATTTTGAGTGACACGGGAAAGGCTACGAATGCTTATGTGCATGTTATGTTTTTTGTTTTGTTTTTTTTAAATAAATTTGAAGCAATTTTCCACTTTGTCATTATGGGATATCATGTGTAGATTATTGAACTGAAAAATAAACTTAATCCATTTTGGAATAAGACTGTAACATAAAAAATGTGGAACAAGTAAAGGATACTTTATGGTTGCACTGTATATCAAAGCTGGTGAGACCTTATCACTCAAATCATTTGATGAAGGTCTCCTATTTGTTCCGCGTGCTTTACATTAAAACCAGAGTCTATCTAGCTTATAACCTTGGAACAGCCTTTGTCAGCCTACGAGTTCAGCCGATTCAGTGATTTCTTTTCAACCACTGCCAAAAAGTCTTGATTGAGGGTAGCTTTCCCTAATCTTTCTCCCATTAT